ATACCGCTAGGGAGGTTAAAGGTAATGGTATCTGTAGAGGGCAGGGCTGGACACATGAGCTAAGTTATCTCATGGTGGGAGAACCAAATAATTAGGAAATTATGAAATCTATATCTTGTCATGGTGCGTTCATCTCTGAAACACCAGTCTTATTTACATCACATACTTCTCAGCTACCTAAACATTTTCTTTCATCTGATATGCTCCAGTACAGCCTCTGCAGAACATGGAAACAAACTGCCCCACACAAATATCAAAGTTGCTTTTCAAACATCTTTTTTATTTGTTTAATACACACAGTATTTTGTAAGACAAAATGCTTAAGAATCTTTGTACAGAATTAGAATTTTATAACAATAACAAATACAAATAATACAAATTGAATTTCACGTTACAAAGCTTTATCCTGTAGTATGAGTTAAGAGCTATGAAAGATCACAGGGCCTAATTTAGTGAGGTATGAAGCAAGCTGAAGGATAACCTGTGTACACATCGCAACATCCAGTCATAGGCAAGAGATGCTCTATTTTATTTAATTTCTTTGAACATGATGGATGTTCACTTGTTCACTCCTTTTCAGTGGAATTCACCTTGCTTCGCACATTGGTAAGTCAAGCCCACAGTCTACCCGTACATAGTTGGAAGGATCTCCTGAGTATAAAGTCTGGTGGCAATCATCCTGGGATTTCAGTGTGTCACGTTGCAGCCATTTTGTATGAATACGTACATCTTCAGTTGTTTTAGTTTTGGACACTATGCATAGTAATGTTTTCCTGCTACTTATGGGATATATCTGCAATGATAATAACAGATTTCCAATAATTTATGTATTTTTTGTTTAAGCAGTGGACCTCTATAAATATATGTAATATTAAATACAAATAAATCATGTGATGCCAGCAAAGATATTGGAAACCATTGTTATCAACTGACTTATGATTCAAAAGAGAGTGTCCCCTTTAATGCAAAACATTGCTACTGGAATCTGTTGGGATAAAAATATGGCCGATGCCATTATTAACTGGATTGTGAAGGTTCCATGGATTTCATTCTCATTTCTGACATGGACCAACTGTGGGCATATTAGGTATCCCAACTAGGGTTGTCACCTCATCCCTTTAAAAAAACCAAACACATATTAATTACACAGGTTCTGGGGCTAATTTAATGCAGATAAGGCACTAAGCAATTTTAATTACCACCTTATTCAGCCACAGAACCTGTGTAATTAATATGTGTTCGGGTTTAAAGGGATGAGGTGTTAACCTTAATCCCAACACTTTACTGATTATAAAAATATATATATATATATATTGCGGATGATAGAGTGAAACACATAAAAGTGCAAAAACATTAGTAAATGCAAAATCTAAAAATCAAACAATATGGTAAAGTGCATCATGAATGTAAGGAGCTGAGTGAAACAGTAAAGCGCATCAAGTAAAAGCATGAAAATATCAGCTAAACAGCTCAAAAAACAAATGCCAAACAATAAAGTATATCACGGGCAGAATCTAAATACAATAATGTCCGTGGTGATCCGTGAAGTAAAGTGCAGTAGTAAATGATGTTACAATAAACATATAAAATCTGAGATATATAAATAGGATAAAACTCTACATCAGTGTCTGTGGTTAAACGTGCTATTTATATAGTCAAATATCCAGAAATGGAAGCAATTGTCTGTGAAACCATAAGGCGCAGTATAATTAAGGTGTAGAGTGGAAATGTGCTGATGATCACACAAAAGAATCCACCACCTCTCTCGGATGTACACTCACCAGATGAAAAGTGGTAACAGGCAATCAAGCATTAAACATCTGAGAATGGACGTCAGCAAATGGTGGGTCCACCCAACGCATTTTGTGCGCATGCATGTCCTCAGGGGTACGCGTTGGGTGGAGCCGCCATTTGCTGACGTCACGCCACCGATGCCGATGGTTGGAGCGGTGGCCATCTTGGTACACTTTTTATGCCTTTTGATTTCTGTCTCCACGTGGATACTTTTTAATGTTCTAATAAATACTACACTATGTGCAACCTTATTGGCTCCCGTGGTGAGCCATTCCCTCTAGGACAAGGGCTGACTTCCAATCTGAGTGCCCAGGACGAATTTGGTCCAGTTTAACCCTTTGGCCATCTTCCATTCTCAGATGTTTAATGCTTGATTGCCTGTTACCAGTTTTCATTTGGTGAGTGTACATCCGAGAGAGGTGGTGGATTCTTTTGTGTGATCATCAGCACATTTGCCCTCTACACCTTAATTATACTGCGCCTTATGGTTTCACAGACAATTGCTTCCATTTCTGGATATTTGACTGTATAAATAGCACGTTTAACCACAGACACTGATGTAGAGTTTTATCCTATTTATATATCTCAGATTTTATATGTTTATTGTAACATCATTTACTACTGCACTTTACTTCACGGATCACCACGGACATTATTGTATTTAGATTCTGCCCGTGATGCACTTTATTGTTTGGCATTTGCTCTTTGAGCTGTTTAGCTGATATTTTCATGCTTTTACTTGATGCACTTTACTGTTTCACTCAGCTCATTACATTCATGATGCACTTTACCATATTGTTTGATTTTTAGATTTCACATTTACTAATGTTTTTTGCACTTTTATGTGTTGCATTCCGCAATTTATTTATTTATTTATTTCAGCGCTGCACTTTCTTACATGAATCTTAATGCCTAAGCACAATTTTGCAACTTTGACATGTGTTAGCAAAACTGTACATATTATCACAACTACTTTGTGCATCCAGATGGATTATACCTTTTTTTTTTCAGGACAAATTGGGCTTTCATTTGGTGGTAAATGGTAATGGATATCTCCTGATTTTTTTTTTATTATCGAAGGAAAACTGGCCCAAAATATATATTTGTTTAAATTTAGCTGTATATTTCTTGCTACTACCATAACCTACCACCAAAGAACAACTCAAAATAATTTCTCCTGCTCCTGACGATTGCAACAATATAAAATATGCATATGCCAGTTGTTGGTTGTAACCGTAGTACGGCCCAGAAACTGCACATTTTGCTTTTTTTTCATCCTGCCACTAACTGGCACTGATACTAATTTAAAAATTAACGAAAAAAATCCTGACCAAAAAAAAAATCTGCCGCTGACCCTTGACCCTGACCTTGACCCAAACACTAACCCTGGCACTGAACTAGACCAAATCTTGATCTAGTCTTTTTTTTTTTTAATTATTTTTAGTTTTATATATTTATTTTTACACACACTTGTGTTTTTCTCTCTGAAAGGACAGATAGAGATACAATGTAACTCTCTCCTCCATTCAGAGAGAAAAAATACGGGGGCAGGCTTCACAATGAATGATCACTGTGATAGCTAATCAGAGGCATCACAGCAATCAGGTGACACGGAATCAGGAGTTCCGAGTCCCGATCATTAGAACGGGACCCAGGGCTTTCAGTGAGACCCCGGTCTCTTTGCTAGGAATGCGCTGTACGGTGCGCTCCCAGCACAAAGACAGGTACGTAAATTAGCGGCCCCACGGAAAAAAGCCCAGTCCAGCGGAGCTGCTTGTTTGCGTATGCTCAGCGTGAAGGGGTAATGAAAAAGGAGACGCATGAGGGAGGAAATGAGTTCAGTTGTAAAAAGACTGAGTTTGAGAAAGCGTGACATTCATACTGATATGTCAGTTAGTGAATTAGTGGTGCATGAGGAGGCCGAAGGGGTGTGCTAAGGAACAGAAAGATAAATTTGGGTATCATTAGCACAGAGAAATAGGAAACCATATGGCAGCACAGTGGCTAAATGGGTAGCACTCCCGCCTGGTAACACTAGGATCGTTGGTTCGAATCCCAGCCATGGCACCTCCTGCCTGGAGTTTGCATGTTCTCCCTGTGCCTGTGTGGGTTTCCTCCAGGTACACCAGTTTCCTCCCACACTCCAAAGACATGCTGGTAGGTTGGATCCTGTCTAAATTGGCCCTACTATGTGTATGTATGAATGTGAGTTAGGGACCTTAGATTGTACACCCCTTGAGGGTTAGGGACTGATGTCAAAGGAACAATATATATGTAAAAAGACAGCGATATATAAGTACCTGAAATAAATAAATAAAATGGTAGGCTACCACCCAAACCAAGGAAGAGGTGCAGCACAGTGGCTTAGTGGTTAACATGTCTGCCTTGCAGTAAATGGGTCATGGGTTCAATTCCCAACCATGGCACCTCCTACATGGAGTTTGCATGTTCTCCATGTGCTTGCATGGGTTTCTTCCAGGTACTCCAGTTTCCTCCCACACTCCAAAGATGTTCTAGTAGGTGAATTGATTCCTGTCCAAATTGGCCCTAGTATGTGTATGTATGAATGTGAGTTAAGGACCTTAGATGGTATGCCCCTTGAGGGTTAGGGACTGATGTGAATGTACAACATATATGTAAAGTGCTGTGTAAATTGATGGCACTATATAAGTACCTGAAATAAATAAAGAGGTGTACTGTAGGTAGAGAATAGGAAGAGTCTGAGGACATGGCTTTGGGAGACCCCTACAGAAAAAGGAAGGAGAGATAGATTTATGTTTGTCAATTTTGCCATATCTTTTTAGATCAGTTTTTGCAACTTGTCATTGGTTTTCTGTACACATATGTAGACTGTTCATATGTGATACAAAAGAGCTGCTGGAAACACTCTAACCTGATTGTATCTGTAAAGACACTCAGAAAAGATGCATGCAACTGATATTGAAAGCAAGTGTTTTTTATTATAGGTTTTATTCAGATCTAGCAAAACATGCTAGATAACTGGATTGGGAAATACCTAAAAATACATATAATTTGAAAATATATAAAATAACATATACTGAAATCCAGGTATCTGTATCATACATTAGCCTTTATCATTATGATCTATAAGAGAGGACCTAGATCTGAATCATCTGAGAGGTGTTCATTTTAATTAGAAGATCTAAAGATGATTTACTTCCTTTCTAACACTGACCTTATCCACCTTAGGGTCTTATAGTATGCTCGGCACTCTGGGAGTGATTCCATCCATTCCTACACTTGAAAAAGGAAATGTTGTGAGCGGATATATGAGGCACTTGAGAAAACTAAATACTAGGTGGCATTAATATGAGATGGGTGACTTTAACTTAAGTTAGCTATTTTACGCATTTCATTGAACTTGCTCCTGGTACAGCTGAATGTTTGTTTTGTGTAGATAACTTACATGTTCATTGCTGGTAGTGTCGTAGTTGGGCCAGTAACATGATGCACTGCATGAGGAACTCCACCCATTTGCCCAATGGTGTTTGAAGGCATCATCTGAGACCACATTGGATAGCCAATTGGTGGCTGTAGTGTTGGTGGAGCTGCAGGAAGGCCAGGAGGTGTATAGTGGTGATGATGATGTACTGAGGTGGGACGAACCTTCTCCGCTCTAAGCACTACAGGGTTGACATAATTAGCATCCTAAAATGAAAACATACAATGGGCTTTTAGAGTCAAAGTAAAATAGAAAGCATATAAGAAGTCACTTTATAAGGGCTTTTTCACACTGGTGTGCTTTTGCTGCACTAAAACTTTCCTTTCCAGTGCGATAAATACACATGAAAGTTATTACCCTTTAAATCCATTGTAACTTTTCACATCAGTGCGCTGTGTTTGCATTGCATTTAGAAAAGTCCTGCATGCTGCACTTTTCAAAATCACACCAAAACACCTCTTCCAATATAATTCAATGGGAATGCATCAAAAACACATGAAAACCACACCCAAGATGCATTGTTGGTGAGTTTTTTTAGTCACTTGTCAAAGTTTCACAGGTGCATGCTGGGAGTCAGGAAAGCAGAAGATGCACCAAAAACACAATTTTAATGAAAACTCGTTCAAAGGCGCATACCCGGGTTTTTAAGTGCAACAGTGTGAAAGGGCCCTAACTGAATCAATACAGATTAGAGTATGGAAACCAAGACACAAATGTATTTTATTTGGTCTGTTTAATACCGTATACCATAAAGTGTTTTGCTTGATATCTGCTTGATATTTGGAAAACAGTACCTGTCGATCTAGCCAGAAATATTGTCAGCCGATAACTTCCTCTGCTCTCTACCTGTACTGCATTCTTATCTGTTACATTTCCAATTATCTATGAGGACTGCAAACCCCGCTGATCTTTATATGGAGGAAAGGAAAGGAGAAAGTTTCTGTAGTCCTGTCCTGTTTCTGTTGCCCTGGTATAGTACAGTGAGGGTGTTTGTTTGTGACCCTAGGAAAGGACATGTTCTACTGGCAGAATCACCAATAAAAGCTTAAAAAAAGAAAACAATGCAACAACCATAGAGTATCTAAGGACCGCTAAGCTGCAATATAGTAAATATTTGTTTTATGGTTTAAATATGCATTAACTGTGTTTCAATTAGTGAAATGTTTCACGGGTGAGAAGATGGGATGACTCTCTTCTCCAGATAGAATGCAAGGTGCAAACAGGCATCAGGAAATTTTAGATTGACTGAACATTGTTTTTTTGAGGACACTATAGATTTAAACTCAAAAAGGTACAGGGGTTAGACAAATAATGGAAACACTACATGATTTGCTGGCATGAAAGTGATGACGTGTTTCACATTGAAAGCGGAAGTGATGTAAAATTCTTTTGCTTCTGCTGTGTGATGAGACACCTAGCTAGCAGGTAGGAAGCCTCATTTTCATTTACAGCATGCTAGCAATATGAAGTCATGTAAGAGCTTACTACGCTTCAAAGAGGGCAAATTGTTGGTACCCGCTTAGCTGGTGCTTCTGCGACTGAAGTTGTCAATTTATTTGCCATGTTACTAGGTACAAATAAGTCTGATAAGCATAAGCGCAACCGACATGGTCAACTGACCGAAAAAGACAAAAGGACATTGTGCAGGATTGTGACCCAGAATAAGAAAACGGTTGCTACAAAAGTGACTGCAGAGCTCTATCTCAGTCCTGAGAAGACTAAGGTTACAATGAGCTAGAACTAAGTTTACTTACACTCGCACCTATACTACAGCCCAAACAATTTACAGGTCCACTGAATGCAATGGGAACTAAATTTACCTATCCTAGCACCTAACTAGGAGGGTGCTACAGGTATTTACCCTTTCCTGGAAGAAATGTTATTTTGAGTTCCCAGGTACAGCATTTTCTTCAGGAAATGCACATATTTCAGATGGCTAAAGTGGATGTAGCACCATCCTAGATAGGTGCAGGATTAGTTCGATTTAGTGCTGGCTGTGTTCAGTGGAGCTGTGTGTAATTATTGGTTAGGTAAATTTAGCTTGCCTCACTGTATACAATGTGCCTGCAATTGATGCTAAATCTGTTCAGTGTTCTTCCCTGCTGCCAGTCTGATAGCTCCCTCTGCTTTTCAGAAAGCTGTGAGAACTTTCTGGATAATAGTTGTGGATTTATACAGACGACATTATAAATATTTATACAGTCCTGGCCAATCCCAGGGAGCTGGGCCCTGATGGTATGCTGGGTAACTATATATTCCTGAAGAGCTTAGCTTAACCCCTTTGCACCGGTGCCTCCTGGCCCTTTAAGAGTTTCAGAAGCGGAGGCGGGGCGGGGGTTTTAGGGTCATGTGACTGCCATGATTCACGGTCACGGCAGTCACATAATCGGAAACAGTCCCAATCGCAAGTCATGGACATATGTGCTGGGAGCGCGCAGGGCACACGCTCTCAGCACATATGTATTTTCAAATGGTACGCAAATATGCGCCTGCTCGGCATCAAGGCCCAGACGCCAAGAGGCCGCATATTTATGTTCACTCGGTGTCTAAGGGTTAATCAGTTCTCTGGGACTCTGCTCTTGTTGCTCTAAAGAAAGAAGCCTGTGTGCTTTTCACAGTTTTACTACAAGCCAAGTCCACAGTTGCTATATGCTTCAGCCTTACAAAACGGAATTCACTGTCCCCAAGTTGTACATAGTTTCTGTTTTTGGAGTATCTCACTCAAATCCCTCAACCCTACCCAAGTTCTCCGAAACTAAAAACAACAAAAACAACACCCCTAGACTGGTTATTGAGGAAAAGAGTGACTGTGTTCATATGCTTGGCTGCGGGGCAACCCACTGTGAAAGAACCTGGGCAGATTTCCAGCGTCTCCTACGGGAGTAAGCGCTACATGAAATTTAAATTTAAAATGGAATTCCAGTCAAACACTAACTAAACCTAAACCTACTCCCATGCCCATTTAACCACTTGTCCTCCAGAGGATTTAACCTCCCCCCTTCCTGACCAGGCCATTTCTTGTAATTCGGCGCTGTGTTACTTTAACTGACAAGTGCGCGGTCATGCAATGCTGCACCCAAATGAAATTTACGTCCTTTTTTTTCCACGAATAGAGGTTTCTTTCTGTAGTATTTGATCGCCTCTGCTTTTTTTTATGTTTTTACACTATAAAAAAAACCTACAACTTTTAAGAAAAAAAACAATATTTTTGACTTTCTACTATTAAATATGTCCAGTAAAAAAATGTAAAAAATCAAATTTCATCATAAATTTAGGCTAAAAGGTATTCTGCTACATGTCTGCTAAAAAAAATTCCAATACATGTAAATTAATTGGTTTATGTGAAAGTTATAGCGTTTACAAATGGCGGTATAGATACTAGAATTGTTTTTTTTGTTTTTCTTTTACTAGTAATGGCGGCGATCAGCGACTTATATCGGGACTGTCCCCACCGGCGGACCTGGCTCCTCCCCCCTGCTGAGTGCCCCCAATAGCAAGCCTCTTGCTATGGGGGCACTGCAGCAGGCTTGCTCCTGTGACCCCCGCTCTTATGTACATCGCTGGATCGAGATGGGGCTCATGTATGTGAAGCCAAAAACTTTTTTTTACTTTTAGATAAAATGGGGAAAACTTAGAACACTTGTCTCTTTTTACCACTATCCGAGATTGCATTAAAGAGATTTCCTGTCCTGGTGACATTTTACCAGACAGGAATTGACAGGAGTTTTCCAACATCAACAGAGACAGAAATAAAAATGCTTGTCATTTATTTTTCTCGCTTTCCTTGTTGATTCTTTCTTACCTTTTGGTAAAACCATTGTCAGCAAGACAGGAAGTGAGGGTAAATATCTCTAATGGAGGCTCTGGATAGCAGTAAGAACCAGACAGGAGTTCTAACCCTGTTCTTCTCTATCCAAAATGTAAAAAAAAAAAAACTTGGCTTACACAAAGTTTTTAATGGAATATATATTTATATATATAATAGAGTTTTAAAAAAATGCGGAAACTTATTGAAGAACCGTCATATTTAGAGTAGTCTTTGCCACCAGAGTACAAGAGTGATGTAAGCAGGAATTATGTAAAATAAACTGAATGATAAACAACTGAGAACATTACCTGGTGGGACTGAGATGCAGCAGGTGGTACATTTCCGGCAGGTTGGGACATTGCCATAGGCGGCAGTGCTTTCAGCATCATGTTCTGCATAATGATCTGGTGCATCTGGGCATTCTGCATAAGCATCATTTCCACCATGTCTTCAAAAGCAAGACAGAAAACATAAATTCTCTAAAGACAAACTGCATTTTCTGTATTTTTAATAGTGTGCACTACAGATGCTTCCGCAAAGAATCTGCCTTCCACGTATTTTTGTACTGTTTAGCTCCAGATTGTAAATGTTGAATACAGATCCTAATGGGAGTGTTGATTGCCACTTTGAACAACCTACTAGCAGGCTTTGGCAAGCTTTCAACAAACTTCAAGAAGTGCTGAAGTCTGCTAGCATCTTGTTTAAAGGGGCAATCAACACTCTCATTAGGATCTGTGTTCCATATTTACAAAATGGAGCTCAACGTTACTTTAAGCTCCCTAGCAGTATGATTATTTCAGATTTTTGGTGCTGAAAGCGGTACCATTATTTTGCATTGAAATATGTAGTTTTATTGTAGGCCTGTAATTTTTAGGAATAACTCACTGAAATCTGTCCGAACAAGAGTCTAGTAAACATCCCGGGTATGAGAAAACTTGAAACACTAAATCATAAATTAAAATTGAATAAATAATCATAAAAAATAATAATATAATAATAATAATAAATTTAATTCAATAATATAATCAAACCAAAAGCACTGAAATTTGAAATATAGCGCCAAGTTCGCACATCACAAAGTCGCAGAATCGTTTTCAGTGCCTGATGACGAATTTCCCCCACGAATTATTATCACTCAATTCTGCAAGTGGTTCTGATTTACTATCGCTGTTCTCTAGCTGGTCTAAAACCACTTTTGACATAAAGGGACACTTTTTGGATGCCATGGACTTTTCTAAGTTTCCAGGCAGAAAGAACAGTCAAAATGCAGGCAGGGCACAGGACAAAGCAGTAGTGACAAAATGTATGTGAAATGCTTTGAAACAGCAATGTTTTACTATGTCATATTCGTTTTGAAAAAAATGACATTTTTTAAAAATTTTCAAATTTGCCGCCGGTTCCGGCGCCCGTACGTCCCGACGTCACAGGGACCGGAACACAGAAGCCGGATGCCAGCATCGGCCGGAGGAGATGGCCGGGGATTTTTTTTTTTAAGTCCGCAAACGTGCAACTATAACGAAAAAACCCGTAAGTGTTCACAAAAAAGTGCAAGTGCAAAACAGCACACAAAAAGTGCACTTAAGGGTGTGCTTTTGTCCTACCCCCGAAGGGGTTGGACCGTTACCCTGATCCCCCGGGGCACGAAGCTCCTGACAGGGACAAGGTTCCCATTTGGTCCTCCTGGCCAAAAGGCCTGGTGGACCACCGTTCCTTATGTTCAGCCGAAGCCGGACATCCAGTACTAGGCCAGGGGGTTCTCCCGAAGAGAAAACCCCCTAGGGACAGGGGAGGAAGGAACCGTATGGCCACACATCCTCCCCCTAGACTTCAGGGCAGGCCCGAGGACCCACACCCTCCATCCTGTGAAAAAAAAAAACACACACAAAAGTAAAAGGTGACAAACGTGGGGTGAGGAAAAATAAATAAATAAATAAATCTATAAAAATAATAAAAAGTGTCGTGCCCAAATTGTGCACTGACCAGACCCTGAGGCCTGTAGCAAAAAAATTGCCCAGAACTTGACCAAAAGGCCCGGTCCTAGAGGCGCAGTGCAAAAAATGTTTAAAACTCGGTGACCATGTGCTCATTCGCAACGTGGGGTCCCACACCCAAGTGCTACTCAGAGCACCCCTGAGGCGACTACTCAGGGGGCACCTAGTTTGCGGACTCTCTGCCTTCCCAGCCCCTGGCCAGACCAAGGTAGACCATCCAAATCAGGAGGTAACTGGGTCCTTCAGACGTTCCAAAGGAGAATTACTCCCGAGGCCCCAGAACGAATCATGGCGCTCCCCGGTTTCTGTCCTCCCCGTAATAGCCATCCAGACCCCCATCATTCCAGTGAGGGTACTATACAACAACCATCCCCGCAAAGCTAGAATGGTCGGGAGCACCCCCACTGGACACTGATAAGAACAGATACTACACTTGATCTTAGCCAAAAGGCCGAGAAGCGAGGAGATGGCCGGGGATGATGCAGGGAAACACATCGCGGGAGCAAAGGACAAGGTAAGCGCTGCAGTGAATCCCTGTGCAACGCTGCATGGTAAGCCCGAGTGTAGCTCGGGGTTACCGCTTTTGGTACTGAAACTCTACCCCGAGCTACACTCGGGAATACCGCCAGGGAGGTTAAAAGAGTCAACAAAGCTTGCTGCAAGCTCTGCAAGTGTTTTGTCAAAGCATAATGTTCACACTGCCCTTATACAAGCTGAAGCCTGTGAGCTGACACCAGTCAGAATTGGATTATCTGTTGGGGGGAAGCTACATAGATAACCAATGCTATGTCAATAATAAAGCTTATGTAATCAAGTTTCACAGTTACATGCGAGTAATTACTTAATTGAAGCAAAAGGTTATTATTAATGCTAATAGTATATTAGTGGGAAGGAAAAAAGGCAATGAAAAGCAAATTAAACAGGGTTTGACTAAGGGTTAACAGGTTTATGGGTCTGCATGAAAAAATGATCAAATATTTATAGAATATACCAATATAATTATCCAAATGTTATTCATTTCATTAAACGCATCCATAAAATTACCATATGTAAGTAAATGACTCTTAAAATAACCTGCACCAGAAATCTGGTTTATATTCCAAAGTGAATAACTATTAGCAAACCACAAAAAGCACCACCATTCCACCATAAATGAAAAACATTACTTCTTGAAATGGCTTTGTATAGAAAATCACCCAAAGCATTTAAATAAATGGTATTCTTGCAATTATAAATGAAACCTGCTTTGTAATCCAGCATGTCTTTGGAGTGTAGGAAGAAACCCCTGCAAGCACAGGGAGAACGTGCAAATTCCATGCAGTTGGTATCCTGGTTGGGTTTCAAACTGATGACCCTAGCGTAGCAATACAGGCGTGCCAACCATTAGGCCACCGTGGTCTTCCCCCATAGTCTCCTATATGATCATATATGGACATTCTAGTAGAGTTCTATGTGCATAGGAGTTCAATAAACTGTCAAATATTGAGGTAGACTGAGAGTCTACCAACGTAAGGCTCCATGCACACTAGTGTTTTTTAAGCTCCTAGAAGCTGTTATTAGCATTTTGTTCTGCTCCTAGAAGTTTAATAGTGTTCTCCTATGTGTCCATGCACATTACTTTAGGATATTAGCGTTTGAGCTTCAGCGCCTAGGAGCAGAAAAAAAAATTGTTTTTGTAGAGTTTTTTGGAGTGTTTTTGCAATGTTTAACACCCCTAAAATGCTACTAAAATGCTCCTAACAGCTTTTTTCTAGCTTTTTTTTTTTCTACATAAGTTGTAATAAACACTGATGCTCCTAAACACTACTAAAACACTACTAAAAATGCTATTACCAACTTTTTATATCCAGCACTTCTTCCAGAGTTTTTTGAGCTTAAAAAAAAAAATGCTAATGTGCATGGGACCTAAATAGCTAACCAGCATTAGAGTTAAACTTTATTTTGAAAAGATGTATAGCACTCTACACTGAGGAGATTCATTTTATTTGGAATGGCTGTCAATTCTCTTTGATCCAGCAGCTCGGTCCTGTTGTGTAGAGATCAATATGACATAGGCGTGAATATCCCTTCCTGTGCTGAACCCTCAGATTAAGGGATAGGTCTATATCTGGGGCAGCACAGTGGCTAAATGGTTAGCACTTCTGCCTGGCAGTACTCGGATTGCTGGTTCAAATCCCAACCATGGCACCACCTGCCTGGAGTTTGCATGTTCTCCCTGTGCATGCGTGGGTTTCCTCCGGATACTCTGGTTTCCTCCCACACTCCAAGGACATGCTAGTAGGTTAATTGGCTCCTGTCTAAATTGACCCTAATATGTGTATGTATGAATATGAATTAGGGACCTTAGATTGTACACCCCTTGAGGGTTAGGGACTGATGTGAATGTACAATATATATGTAAAGCGCTGCGTAAACTGACGGTGCTATATAAGTACCATAAATAAATATCTTCAGTCACCGACAGTATGGGAAATACAGGACTCATTTGTGACAGCAGGGCTCCTTTCTCTGAATAGATTGCTTCAGGTGATGGTGTTTGAAACACCATCTTGGAATCTGTTTGATTTTATAACTTTGTGTAATTGGCCAAGGAATTTATTATTTATTAGGGTGGTTGGATCCAGAACTGGCAGTGAGTGATGCTAATGCTATTTTTCTTCCCCACCCAGATAATTACTTTTCAGTTTGTATACTCAACATGATTACTTTCAAGATAAATTTTAAAGACATACATTAAACAAATTTATATTGTTAGGATTTACATAAATGTTGTGCTAATTATAACTTTTGCATTGTAATAAAAGGATTTATATAATTTTCGATAGAGGCTTCTCTTGGCGCAGTACCGTTATAACGTTTTAAAACAGTGTGTGCAATAAAAAAAAGGTTTTCATTAACTGACCTTCTTTAATGCTGCCTGAGCGTGGCGGCTGATAGGCTTGTGGAGGAGGAATCTGAGTAATTAGTGGCTGCTGTGGAGGTAGCTGCTGAATTATGGTTGCTGGTTGCTGGGGTAACTGTAAATAAAAACACAGTAATTTTGAGTTAACCACTCTTAAACACTTCCAGACCGGACACTTTTACCCCCTCCTGACCAGGGCAATTTTCAGCTTTCAGCACTATCACACTTTGAATGACAATTGCGCGGTCATGCAACACTGTACCTAAATGAATTTTTTACCATTTTTTTGAGACAGATAAAGCTTTATTTTGGTGGTATTTATTCACCGCTGGGATTTTAATTTTTTTTGCTATGTAAATGAAAAAGTCCAAAAATTTTGAAAAAAAAGTGTTTTTTTTTATAAAATTTTGCAAGTAAATAATATTTCATCATAAATCTTGGCCAAAATTTATTCCGTTATCTTTTTAGTAAAAAGAAAAAAATCCAAATTAGTTTATAACCAAAAATTATAATTTTTAACCATTTTTTTTTTACATTTTTATTTTATTTTTTTATATATTATTATTTTTTTTTTATTTTTTTTTTACATACTGTCACCATGGTGACACTGTACTACTTGTGGGGGGTGATGAAAAATTTTTTTTTTTTTTTTTTTACACTGATTGCTCTAAACCCATATAGGATGTAAAAGCAATCATTTCTCTTTCTCTCTGTCTGCATTCTTGCAGTCATTGAGAAGTACTGAGTGAGCTTTGATTGGTCACAGCTTGTCACATGGTACAAGGCTGTTGTGAATAGCCTTGTACCATGTGACCTCTGTGATCATTCACAGATTTCACACGTAGTAAGCAATGATGTCACAAGTGACATCTTGCTTACTACTTTGCATGTGATCACTGATTGGCCAATCAGTGATCACATGATTGGGACCTCGTACAGAGGTCCCGTCCAACGATCGTGTTTCACTGCGCGCGCTCCCAGGGAGTACGCACAAGCGGGTGCGGGGAGGCCGTTTATAAACGGCCATCCGACCCTGCACTGCCACTGTCTGGCCGTTTATATACAACGGCCGGTCGGGAAGTGGTTAATCAAAAGATTTTAGGATAAAATTCTGTCAAATCTCTATATACCCTGCTATGAAAGGCCTTCCCCGGGTTGCATTGAAGCCACCTTCGTAGAAGATGTGTAATACTACCCAAGGACTGCAAGTGTAGGCAGGGCCTAAGTGGTGTACCAAACTTATGGAAGAAACATGAGGCAGAGGGTATTAGGACTGTTTTTTATAATATAGAGTCATCCAACAAGGCACCACAGTCAAATATGATCTTGGCACCGCAGAAGCTGTGAGGTGCACAGTTTACTTGTCCGCAGAACACTGATAAGGAGGTAGAATTTACTCCACAGTGATACAAGTTGCACTTATAATTTCACTGTGCCAGAGGAGTGCTCCATTGGAAGGGGTGGTGGTAGAGTTAACTGACACTGGATTCCACCAGGCTGCTGTGGTAAATGACAGCCAGAGGTAATCTGTCCAGGACTGGTGCAAAGTGGACACCATGAAAATTAAACCTATGCATCCCTACTCATCCTGAACCTTTTCCTACCACTGAGCCTGTGCTTTCCCCACCCAGTGGTGCTCTCTCTCTACCTATTGTCTCACAGTGGGCATGCCCGATAATGTTGGTCCCCCCATTTTTATAAGGTAATAAATCAAGATGGCTGCCCAAATCACGTGGGACTTCAGCATCTAACAGGTTCACAGTCCTCCCCAAGATGGCCACCTGGCCAAAGATAGGAGACATTTCCTCCCTATTAGACTCCTACCACGTACCTCCCAACCTTTTGCGATAGGAACAAGGGACGCCTATTAGCAAAAGTATTAAGGTATAGGACACCCCCCTTGACATGCCCCCTTAAAAGGAGAATTATACAAAAAAATGATTAGCTAAACCCACAAGTGCTTTTTTTTACCACTACTATTCCTCTATACTGGCTTTTGAAATGTACCATGCAGAAAGTTAGAAACTGGATGAAAGATTTAACACTGTGAAACATTTTTTGAAAGATAAATAGTGCATTTTATATACAACTATACAGATCAGACCAAAATGAGGGACAAATGAGATGGAATGAGGGACAGAGGGACTTTGTTCCAAATCATGGTCAGTCACTCGAAATCAGGGACAGTTGGGAGCTATGCTATCAATGGAAGAGACGGTGCAGTGCTGCCTTTAGGTTGGAGGAAATACCGCAGCCTGCATCTGTTTACACTGGAAGAGGAATGGAGGAAAGTCTGGAAGAATTGACTACCATTGTAAAATCAGTCAGGAACAAATTAATGCTGATGAGGTTACTTAATATAAATTTTACTGCACAAACTAGGCTTAAGGAGACTGAATCATCTAAATGTGGCTTGCATGGCCTCCTTTATCTTATTGGTTCTGCTTATCAGTTCTGAAATTCTCGGATATGCCTGGCTCAATGAGGTCTAAATTGCCACCCATTTTTTCTTTGCTTGTGGTGGCTTCCAGCTTTCCCAGCTATAAATGTAACTTGCAAATGTCAAATAAGTTCCCATCATTCCTCATGCACAGGAACATGTTCTTTGACTCTAGAATCATGTCACCTTGTTGCCTCCATGTATTAGGAAATGTAATAAGAAAAAAAAAAAATTTGAGATATCGAGATCAAGAAAACGCAAAGAAAAGCATTATATGCACACAATTAAGGTATAAAAACTATGACATAAAAAGCCAATTAATGATTGTGCATCGTACAGAACATTAATATTGAAGGATGCAGTATACTGTTTTGATTGTAATCAAGTGCTTACACCCATACCTGCTGCTGTATGATCCTGGGAGGTTCTGGTGGAGGAGGTGGAGGATAAAAGCGCACTGGTGGTTCTGGAGGAGGCAATGTGTGGTAAATGTGCATTGGGGCTGCTACAGGTTCTATACTGATCTTTTTTCTGCGAGTTCCTTCCCAGGTATGTGGCCGGGCTATCTCTTCTAGGAGGTGTTGTTCCTGCATATTAAAGTACAAAAATCACATTTGGGGAAAAATGTTGCTTCAAAGATGTACCTACTGTACTCGTGATGATGTCAAGACGGTGTAACACATGCATGTATTCCGTTGCTGTATTGTGCGGTGTTTTATTACACTCACTCTCAGTTTGTGCAGTAGATCCTTCCTCCTGCGTAATGCAGATTGAAGAGCTTCTTCTTGTCCATCATAACTCCCTGAGGGCAAAGGAAAACAATCACAGTACTACCAAAGTAACACCATCCTGCACATGCCACAGGCTCTGAATGAGGTGGATTTACATATGTTGTATAGAGACATCTCTGTGTTTCTAGCAACCAGGCATCACCTTTCTTCCATCTTCTAACCCACACAGGTTAAAAAGACAGCTCAAATGTAACTAATATGGGTAACATAGACACTTTGCTTACCTTAAAGTCATAAATCACCTTTACCAAACTACGTATGCAGGTAAGGGCCATCTGTAGACAACAACCAAATGTGCAACTTTGACCAAAGTGGAATAATGCCCTTGTTATAGGTGTAGGCAATTTACCAAACATGGCATTATCCTGCCCTGCCTTGTTGCTAGGATGTTGCTAAGAGACTCCAAGCTGTTACTGTTCACCTCCACCATCTTTGAGCTGAATGGTGTTAAGAAAAAAAAATCTTCAAGCTGCACAATAAACATGTACAATTATATTAAGCCTTTCCTTCACCTATCTCCCAAAATCCAAATATGAAATACAAGTAAACTAATTTATCCTATTCCAACCACATACAATGAATACTCAAAATATCCCACATCAATAATAAAATAATTAATTAATTAATAATAATAAAAAATAGATAAATAATAAATGTCCAAATGTAACGAAAGTCCAATCAAACAATAGTCCAACAAAAACGTATTAATCCAGTGTGTTGAACTTCCAATTCCTATTCCAATCCTCATGATACCTAAAAAAAAATCTAAACTACAATAGTGTATTACCTTCTAAATTACAAAACAATATAAGTACCTTAATTGTGTGTAAACATATCAGTGCAAAAAAATTGTAATTTAAAAGGTAATACACTATTGTAGTTTATATTTTTTTCGAGGTATCACGAGGATTGGAATAGGAATTGGAAGTTCAACACACTGGATTAATACAGTTTTGGTGGACTATTGTTTGATTAGACTTTTATTACATCTGGACATTTATTTTTTATCTATTTTTTATTATTATTTAATTTTATTATTATTTATTTAATTATTTTATTATTGCTTTGGGATATTTTGGAGTATTCATTGGATGTGGTTGGAATAGGATAAATTAGATTACTTGTATTTCATATTTGGATTTTGGGAGATAGGCTTAATATTATTGTATTTACTTTCAAGGGTGAAAGTGTCACTTTTCTTTATAGGGTGATTGTGGGGGGTATTTCAGTTATTTAAGGTTTACCGAGGTATTATTACTCATAAACTTGTACAATTGTCTGGACTAAGTTTATAAATTAAGTCAACTGAGACACAAGGGAAGACGTGCAGACAGATAGCTACAATGCTGGCTTATTTGCAAGGAAACAATAGCAACTGGGCCATTTATACCTTTTGCTTCAATGATATTCTCTGCACTATAAGTGCCCAGACTTGTAGGTAACAAGGACACATGAAAAAGTTTTCTAATCAGTACTAAACAGAGCCTGGGGCCCATTTACAGCTCTGCATTTTGCCATGCATTGTGGCATTTTTATTCATTTGTATGTGGCACAATATGTCCATTGCATTTGGTCCAAAGCAGCAAAAATGATTTTTCACAAACACATCACACAAAAAAGTTATAGATGAGAACTGTGCTTAAATAAAGATAGTATGCATCTAAGAAAAAGGACTAGGTGACAATACTTATTGCACAGGTAAAATAATAATAATACATTCTACAAGTTTAGAATTCATTTTCTGTTCTTACTTGCTGTTATAACCTCTATATCTGATGAATCGTCAGCAATCTCACGCTCATTTTCTAATCTCTGTGAACAAACGTGAAAAAGTGACTCTATTAATTCCTATTTATCAATAATTATACATTTTTCATATACATTTAATTTCAAACAATCAGAAAAACTGTGAAATATCTGACATTTCAAAGTAGGTCAAGGACATTTTTCTTTTTACAAAGTGTTGATAGTCATTGTGTAGTATAGAAATGTTCAAGACAATTGGGCTATTTGTCATAACAGTGTTTTTCATCAGGGAAATCTTCATTGTCTTCCTGGATAAGGTAGCTATCCATGCATTTCATTTATATTGTTTAACCCATGGCTGAATGAAAGGGTTCTAATAGATTCCTCCATTCAGTGTGGATAGAGGAATCTCCTCTGAAATGTATTGTATTCAGATAGTCAGCACCCCCACTTGTCTGAAAACCCTAAAGCTAGCCATATATAGGTAGAATTTCAAACACATTCTTGGTAAAAGTCCATTTAGAATGAAAATTCTTAGGAAAAATCTTAGGTAAATTCGTACGAAAATTCTCAGAACATTTCAATGTTATTCAAAAGATTTTGTTTGCTTTTAACATTTGATTTTAGGTATTACAGTGATTCTAACGGCTTCTTTTTTTTTTTACAAAAATAACTAACATGTCTATACTTACCTGCTGTGTGCAGCAGTTGTCTCGGATGGAGCAGCACAGATCCTCCTCTTCTCGGGGTCCCCCGCCAGCGCTCCTGGCCCCTCCCTCCTGTCGGGTGCCCCCACAGCAAGCAGCTTGCTATAGGGGCACCCGAGCATGAGCACTCCCCAGCCACTGCTCCGTGCGTCCATTCACACACAGAGCCGTGACTCGGCCCTACCTCCTCTCTGTTCTCATTGGCTCACTGGCTGTGATTGACAGCAGCGGGAGCCAATGGCTCCTGATGCTGTCTCAGCCAATGAGGAGAGGGAGTCCTGGGATAGCCGAGACTCCAGTGCACATTGCTGGATCGAGAGGGGGCTTAGGTTTATTATTAGGGGGGGCTGGGGGGGATGCATAGAGAAGGTTTTTAACCTTCATGCATAGAATGCATGAAGGTAAAAAACATTGAGCCTTTACAACCACTTTAATTGACTATACAGTAAGTCCCCTACTTATGAAGTTATGTTCCAGGAGCTTTTTCGTAAGTCTGACAAAGATCAGCACTTGCAGACAATGGCTACGAGCGCTGATCAGTATGTTCTGGTAGGGGGAATCCCCATCAGAACACAAAGGCACAGTGGGAGAGATTACCACACCAACATTGCTTGTGTTGGTATGGAAATCTGTTAGTTTTTTTTTTTCGTTCAGCTCACTGGGTTGTAGAGTGTGTGACATGTGAACACATATTTGCATATTTGAAAGTTCGTAAGTTGAATGTTCGTATGTAGGGGACTAGCTGTACAGAACAAAAACCACATACACTGCTAGAAATTTGTTTGTTCAAGAAAAATTTTCCATCCAGCTCCTTCGAATTTTCTCATCACTGTGGTAGAACATTCTTTTCCTATGAATTTTTGTTCGAAATTCTACCCATCTATGACCAGGTTAACAATGACTACATCTTATTGGATACATTCACTGTTCGGCAGACATTCTCTCTTCCGGTTCCTTTGATTTTTTATTTAAAGTGGAACTTCACCCAAAAGGGGAAGTTTTGCTTGTCTGCCTCCTCTTTAAGTTTTGGCTCTTATTTTTTGGGGGAGAAAGTGGATACCTGGTTTTGACAGGAACCCATACCCACTTCTGGTTGGATCGCCGAGGTGACCCGAGTAGACATCCCCCCCCCCACAGCCTTCTGGGACACATAACAGGTCCCAGAAAGCTATGGGACCATTCACAGAGCACAACGCGACTCGTGCATGCGCAGTGCAAAGCCAGCTATGAAGCCGCAAGCAGTCACAGCCAGGTTTCCTAATTAACATGCCAGTGCCTGGACGTAAAGATGGCTAAAGAGCTGGCTTGGGTGATGAAAGCGCTGAGTCCCAAGTGTTGTAATAATAAAAGTCAGCAGCTACAGTATTTGTAGCTGCTGACTTTTATTTTTTTTATTTCTAGGCTGAAGAACTTCTTTAGAGTTTGAAAAGCAAGGTGGTGCCTACAGGGCTACCCACGGCTCAAATTTTTGCCAATTAAGCAGGAACTGGGCAAAACTAGGGCCGTGTATGGCGAGTTTAGTGTGCTTATAATCTGATGAAACATCTCAGTGCTATGGGGTTTAACCAGTGGCCCCCATATGTTAATAAGCCTAGTCTGCCTGATGAACGTATATAGTCTCCATTAGCACTACTGCATGTTTGTAAGCAAAACCTGTTCTAAGAGAAATGTGTAAGCAGTTATTGCTGACCTCCTTATGGAAAAGCTGGCTGCCTGGATGTCACAAGTCTCTACGATTTGAGTCATTGACCTAAAACAAACATACAGGAAGTGTAGTCAGAATCAAGTCTCCATAGCACTTCTGGGTCACCAAAATATTAAATCGGGAAGATCGGTATGACATCCAGGCAACAGGAGATGACAGCAACAGAACATTTTTTCTGTGCATTTCCTTTAAAAGGTATAACTAATATTTAAACAATTTACACACTTTTAGTTCAGCTATTGCTTTTTTTTTTTAAGAAATTATGTTAAATTTTTTCAACAGCCACATGCAGTTTGTGAAAGTGGTGTTAAACGGAAAACCAAAAATGCAGTATATTGTTGCATACCAATCATTAGGTGTGGTGACTGCAGTAGGGTTTTTTTGGCATTTTTCTCTCTGTTTTCACCGGGTGATCTGGCCAGTAACACCTCTTGTATTAGTAAGACACTACTCTGGAAGAATGAGCACAGGAGGCACAGCCGATAACAGCATTGTTAACCTGGTCGGAGGGGAGTGTTAGATGTACTAGCAGATTTAGGTACACAAACAAACTGAAGCTAAACTCGAGCTCACATTGCAGTTACAGCAAACAGTTTTTTTCTTTGTGAAATAAAGGTTTTAAATAAATAAATAAAAGCTGATTGTTGTAAGCCTGTCAGTGAAAAATGGTTCATCTCAACACTCCTAACTGATACGTTTGATGGAGAGCTTGTTCTGTTAAAAAGAAAATGACTTAGGATGGCCATAGATGGATCAACATTCGTCCAGTTCAGCAGGGAATGGCCAAATTTTAATCCATGTACAGTGTTTCTCAAACGTTTGCATACCCTGGCAGAAATTGTGAAATTTTAATATTGAAAACTGATCATACCAAAAAAACTGTGTTTTATTTAAGGATAGTGATCATATGAAGCCATTATTATCACATATTATTATACAGTATTTATAAAGCGCCAATGGTTCGCTCAGCGCTGTACATTACAAAGGGGGACAGAACATGTGACAGAACAATACCAATACAATGCAAAACATGAGGGGATCAAGGGCCCTGCTCTTTCGAGCTTACAATCTAGTTGTTTGGCTCCTTTTAAAGTCATAATGATAACAGAAATCACTCAAATGGCCCTGATAAAAAAAGTTTATATACCCTGGAATGTTTGGCCTTGGCACAGACACACAAGGTGACACACAGATGGGATAAAATGGCAATTAAAGGTTAATTTTTTCTTTTCAAATTTCAATTAGTGCCTGTGTATAAATAGTCAATGAGTTTGTTATCTCTGACTTGGATGCACTGGCCAGGCTAGATACTGAGCCATGGGGAACAGAAAAGAACTGTCAAAAGACCTGCGTAACAATGTAATGGAACTTTATAAAGATGTAAAAGCATATAAAAAAATATCCAAAGACTTCAATATGCCAGTCAGTACTGTTCAATCACTTATTAGGCAGTGGAAAATTCAGGGATTTCTTGATACCAAACCAAGGTGATATAGACCAAGAAAGATTGCAGCCACAAGTGCCAGAAGAATTATTCACAGGATACAAGGAAAAACCTACAGGTAACCTCAGGAGAAATACACGCTGCCCTGGAAAAGACAGTGTGGTTGTTTCAAGGAGCACAATACCATAATACAAAAATGAGCCGCATGGTCAAGTTGCCAGAAAGAAGCCTTTACTGTGCCAATGTCACAAAAAAAGCCTGGTTACAATATACCTGTCACATACCTGATGGGAGACTGAATTGACGAGGTCGGCCTCACTTGTGTCACTAATCCTGAGCCCGCTGAGGTTGGAACAGAGGGCGTCTAAGGACCAGGGGGACAAGAGCGCCAGGGTTTTGCTTGCAGCTCTTGCAGATGATGACTTTGGTAAGCAGGATATCCACTGATTCGGATACTGTAGAAATAGACCAGGCAGGTACCGTGGATTGTCAGATGCACAGCAGAGCCAGGTTTGCAGCCAGGACACAGGACTGGAGCGGAGTCGTAGGATAGCCAGGGTCATAACAGTCGGGCAGCGCGGTACAGGATCAGGAAGAGAATGCCAAAGTCAGGAACAGAGACGAAGTCAGGAACCGGGGGGGCCGAAGAGAACTCAGAGTCGGGTCAGGAACAAGCCGGGTCAGCACCAAAGTAATCGCACAGGAAACAAGCAGGACACTGGGGAAGCTGAAGACCAGTCAGCACTGAATCAGCACCGAGGTGCTCTTTAAATAGCCTGCCCAGCACCGACAGGCGCGCCTGGGTCCTAGTGCCTGCCCGGTGTCGTCATTGGTGACATATGCGCCTGGGTCCTAGTGCCCGCCTGCCTGAACGCCTTTTCGGGATCCAGTGCATGCGCAGATTCATGCGCTGCGGCGATCTTCTTGTTCCCTGATAATACCCAACAACACCTTAATATGCCTCACAGCTTCTGGCACACTGTAGTCTAGAGTGACGGTCACAACCATAAGCGCTCTGTTTGGAGAGGGGTCAACAAGGCCTATAACAACAAGAATACAATCCCCACTGTGAAGCATGGTGCTGGCTCACTGATGTTTTGGGGGTGTTTGAGCTCTAAAGGCATGTGGAATCTTGTGAAAAGTGAAGGCAAGATGATTGCAGCATGTTGTCAGAAAATACTGGCAGACAATTTGCATTCTTCTTCATGAAATCTGCTCATAGAATGCTCTTGGACTTTCCAGAATGATGATGACCCTAAGCACATGGCCAAGTTGACCCTCCAGTGGTTACAGCAGAAAAAGGTGAAGGTTCTGGTGTGGCCATCACAGTCTCCTGAATTTAATATCAATGAGTCTTTCTGGGGTGATCTCAAACGTGTGGTTTATGCAAAACACCCAAAGACTTTGCATACCCTGGAGGCATTTTGCCAAACGAATGGGTAGCTATACCACTACAGTTGAATATGAATTCCATAAGACATAAAAGAAATGTGTTTTGCCTGCTCACTCATGTTTTCTTTAAAATGGTACATACCAATTCTGTTATGTTGCGAAGAAGCTGCTCCTGCACACCTATTCTCCAAAGATATGAAAAATTTTGAGCACAGCTGTTTGGGCAGGGAGGTTTTACAGGAATTGATCTACTAGTCGACTTTTGTAAAACCACCCTGTCAGATTTTTCTCTCTCGATCAGTACCACCAGCAATGGCCGAAAGCACTGATCAGTGTATTCTGTTGGTGGGGAAGTTTCCCCACTGTCAGAATACAATAATTCATTGGGAAGGATTCCCATTCACACATTGAAAGTTTGGATGGGGGGATTGAGTCAGTTTTTGCATTCAACCCACTAGTTGAATGAAAAAAAAAATGCATCTGTGGGCTACCTTACTGGCCAGATCACAAGATGAAAATAAATGAATGAAAACCTAAAAAGAAAATTAATGCAGCCATCACATCTAAGATTTGTAAACTGCAATATAATAAATGTTTGCTTTTGGGTTTAAAACCACTTTAATTAAACCAAATGTTTAAAGGACAGGTCTTCCCAAAGCTAATATTTAAATTTTTTAAGGATGTCATTAGATGAAATCACCCTGTGCTTTTATTATATGTCTTGAAAATGATGGACTCTATTTTGCCTATTTTGTATATCTTCTTTGTAAGGTCTTGTTCACAACAGCAGCCTTACTGATCGCATGGATGTTGGGTAGTCAACATATTGCATTGTTTACTGTTTTTTTGTTAGATGAATAAAGTGACATTTCATTCATTTATATTCACCCCAGCTGCATTGTGATTGCTGTGCTGAAAAATGTACTGCATGTAGTGGTGAGAACTGAAATAACAGAAAACAAGGCAAACTACCTTGTCTGTGCATTGGAACTGCACTGGGTTAGGATGCTCATTGCAGTCTAATGCACATGGTGTGAACAGACCCCATATTTGGTGACCACCATGAGTACATCTTACCCATAGTAATCAATGGTGCTATGCAAACATGCACACTAAGAGGAAGACCATATTCAGAAAGAAATGTCTTCCTCAATCCAGTGATCTCCACTGTGTGGCCCTGCAGAGATTGCTGGATCAAGGAGGAAGGTGTGTAATTTTGCTGGTGGGCTGTACTCAGAGGGGTGGGTGGAAGGCATTAAAGCAAATTATACTAAAGCAGTTGTTCTTTAAGTAAAAAATATTTTCTGTTTGTTAAATGTTCATTGGGATACATAATGCAATACTCAGTAAAAGTCAACAACAACAAAAAAAAATGTTTTATGCACAGTTTTGAAGCTGAGGCGTCTTTGGCCAAGATGGTAAAAAAACAGAAAGCTAATGTCCTCACCTTCTCCAGTAGTTTGAGTTTTAGCCTAGTCATATGATCTATCAAGGAGGGGTCCGTCATCCTTAATTTTGCTGTAAATTAACAGGCAGTAATGAATAAGAGATTTCTTACAGTCAAGCCAAAAAAAAACTATATGATCTGCTTTTTTTCTGCCGTTTTTGAAAAATGGGAAGGTACTTCTCGTCATACTATCGGTTCCCACAATGAAACGCACTCCATGATCAGGGTAGGCAGACCTTTCATGCATCCACCCATCCTCCATTCATAGGCTAGTTTTCATTGTGAGAACTGATAGTACAGCTTCCATGAATGAAACACAGGAGTGGAAAAGGTTGGCATAGCCACAGTAGGTACTTGACAAATGCCCGTCACAGGTGCAGGTGCTCAAATTAACTGCCGCAGCACAAAGATCATTACTGTGAGTGTATTGGGGGGGACAAAGGACTCCATATTTCATCCTAACACAGTAGTCACCAACACACTGAACACTCTTCATTCATAAGAAAGGATCAGGTAACTGGCAAGTACTAAGAAAATAAGTAAGGGCAATCCCTGTATCTCTCTCATGACATATCATACTAACAAATAGTTGTACTTTACAGAAACCATGATGTGACAAGCAGGGGCATATTGACCACAAGGCAAACAAGGCATTTGCTTAGGGCGGCATTTTTCGGGGGGGCAGCACTGCCCCTCGGAAGAAAGGACAGACGAAGGGACACATATGGCATAGGGACCAGGTAGGATCCGAGAGAGACTGCAGGCTGCTTGATGGTGTATGCAGAGCCCGACTCTCATTCCCAGGGATGTCTGGAGTTGTGAAGGTGAGTGTCTTTCTCTTTCTCCCCCTTTGGGGGGGGGGATGTGTGTTAGTGGAAGGCTCCCTCAGGTGGGGGGCAGGGGTATTGTTGGTCAATGTCAGGCTCTCTCCCGAGGGGCGGCATCTGATTTTTGTGTTGCCTAGGGCAGCACAAAACCTAAATACACCACTGGTGGTGACAACAACCATTAATAAAAATTGTACAGCACAGCAAGATATTTCTTTTTGACACAGAAAACCCTGTGTGCAGGTATGCTGCAGCTCCATCAGGTCCCAGTTACCTGGTAGACTTGCAGTGTGTCTGCTTATGCTTGGGACTAAGATTGTGTAAAACTTCATCCCACTGTAATATTGCCTCATGGGATGTGTGACTTGGACATCCCACTACGCAGTAATTTATGTCTTCTTTGCCTGGGCGAGGAATGATGAGGTAATGGGCTTCACAGTTTAAAAAAAAGGGTATTTAACATGTACAAAAATCAAACAGTCTGCAAATGCATAAGGATGGAGTAGAGGGAGTACATTCCATGGGGGAAGGTTCACTTTTAAAGCCAGCCAGAGAAGGATTCAATTTCAACTGTCGGCAACCAGCCTGTTGGGTTATTTTCATACGCCACTGCTGCTGGCTATAGCCAGTAGTAGTGATCATTGTATTCTGACGGCAGGGAAACCTCCCACTGTCAGAATACAATAGCGCAGCGGGAGGGATTCCCCCCCATCAACACTGACTGTTGCATGGGAGAATAATGTGATTTTCTTTCTTTCAATCTGTGGTTGAAGGAAAGAAAATTTCATAATATACGCATTCCATTCTACATAGTTTTCGTAAATCTCAAAGAGATTGTACAGTCAAATTATATTGTGTACAGTGAAATTAAACTGGCCATATACTTAACACTGATAGTACAAACTCATCTACTACAAGGGTATAATTAAAATTGATTATTAAGGTAGGTTTTTGTGCTACATGTTTTTGATTGACCTAGTGGCTTAGTACTTCTGCACAAAAGGCTGGCTGGTAAGTGTTGTTTTGCAGGCTGGCTGGTAAGTGTTGCTGGGAAATCCTTTGGCTTAGTACTTCTGCCTTGCAGCACTGGTGTTCCTATTTAGTATCCTGTACGGGACACCATAACTAGGATAACGTCGCGCTTCAATCTGTCCCATCCTTACCGAATACCTCCCTTCAGCTACACTAAAAAAATAAAGCAACCCATCCCCTCGTGGCTTCCAAATCACCCTCTCTCGTACAATAACTCAGCACCACACATTCGTTGCTTACTGAGCGGAATGCGTATACTGTCTATAACTTGAGCATCTTATGAGATGAGTGTATGCAGACTCTATTCAGAGCAGTCTCATACTACAGACTCAATGAACAGTGAGCCGTGTTCTCAACTCTAGCACTGACCACTCTTACATGCGGAGCAGACATCTCATAAATACTGTAAGATCACTAGGTCCAGTGTCATCCGTGAGTAGCGATGAAAGTCCGTCACTGAGAGGCAAGCTATGCGGATTCGATCGGATAGATCCACATATTTAGGTTCCCGACTAACAGGCCCCCCCACCATCTACAGAGCGTGAAACTCAACAACACCGCTAGTGCGAGCCTGTCATCCGATCTGCGGCGAGCAGCGGACACACAACAGACGAAAGCAGCAGGAAACGTCTCTATAGATCAACACACAGAGTGCAGAGAGAGTGGCATATCGTCTTCAGGGCCCCCGAGGCGTATGCACCGAACACGCATGGGTGGGCGGCCTTCAGTAGTCAGACTGCGACGCACCTATGACCTGAGTGGCCGCGCTAGATCGACAAACTAAAGATGAGACAGCTGGCATGCGACTAGCGGGTCGCATCCATCAAGAGACAATCAGCAGTATAGCTATCAGCTTCAGATTATTCACGAGTATTGTATTTCTCCTCTACTAGTGCAGAGTGGCGCTGCCAAATTAACGGTGCCCCACTTGTCAGAGCGAGCTAGTCGAGCAGCATCGGGAGCTAGGGCCCACAGAGCGCTGCTAGAGTCTGAATCACTAGCTTTACACAAGATCATAGCTACATGATCTGTACCTAGCGCATCTGAGGTATCTCTTTATTATTCCTCTAGTCTTCTTACGTGTCCTCATAGTGCCACGGTATGGCTACAGATCACTTGGACATATTACCGCATAATAAGTCACATAGTTTGACTCCACTCTGATATTCTTGCAATAAGCGATACCGTCAACCACTGACACTGGATTACCGAGCTGTGTAGCTCATAGACAGTGTCAACACTTCTAGAGGTGCTCGGAGTATAGAGAGCGATGATGTGCGCGAAAGTGAGACTTGAGATGACACGACACACACCTAGTCAGACCAGCTCGCGTGCATTCATTGTGACACAGCGAGGAGAGAACTTAGTCTAGATTCGGCCGACTGGCTAGAACTTAACTTCAACTACGACACTATAGCTATATTTGAATAGCGCTCCCATAGTCTAGTAGTGTGGCGATATAACCAACTGTATAGAATTACGTTTAGGCACAATAATAATTATGTCTGCTCAGATGAGAGATAAACTTATACTAAACAGCAAGACATAGCCAGCAGGAACGGAGTCCTATAATAGAGCTCGGAGCAATACTCATGTATGGTATCTCTCTACACCGAATCAAGTTATAGACTCTACGGTCAGTAGCATACATACACAGCGCGATAGGGAGAATGGCACTCACTGCACAAGGTGGACCATTCACGAGGGTCTGTATTCGATAAGGATGGTACATACGATACGACTACTTGGTAGAAGCGAGGTCGACCCATGAGTGGTATAACAATACAGACTAGCGGCAGGCTTGGGATCAAGCTGGGACTACGAGTATGTGAGCATCTCGGGGAGCTAGATCGAGTTCTGAGGGAATAATGGCAGATCAGTCACTGTACGAAGAGCTGTACATGATCAGGGGTGTTTAATTCTGGGATTCACCGAGGAGCGCGATCTCAGAAGTATCTACTCTAGATGTGTCGGTGGGTGTACAATGGTTATCGGGGATTGGTGAGGATGGGAGTTGTCGTATGGCACCATATAGTCAGATGGCAGGAGTGGGGGGGGGGGGGGGCGTGGGGGGGGGGAGGGGGGGGGGGGGAGTGTAAGATTCTTGTTAATAAGGCGCAAGTTGTGGTGAACTATCATTCATGACTCCGACGTCCCTCAAAACAGCTATTGTGCACGACATCGAAACTGGTACGACTCAGAGTAGGACGATTGCTTTATCTCCAAGACAATATAATTTAGAACCTATTTTTATGAAGTTGCCATTTGGTTTAACAGGTGGGGGACAATGGTGTGATATTCTGAATTTTTTAGAGCATATCTATCACAAGAACAAGAGCACCTCCATGTAAGTGTATGATAGTGCGCTGTTCACATACAGCTCGCTGTAGAGTGCGACAGTAATTTGAGTATCTCATAGTAGCACATTAGTGCTTCTATCGCAAAATGTAAATGTATCTGATACAAACTCTTACACAACAACTGACTTTCTCAGTGATGATTGAGGAGGTGCTAGATAGGTGCAAGGTGAGCGATGATGGGTGTGACAGAGATCTTTGGGGCACAATTGTTTGTATAAGCATGATGAGTAGTTACGAGTATATATATGGTGGGGGAGAGGCATGGGAGTAGGATGACGGGGAGTTAGGGGTGTGTGAGACTATCAGAGTGAGCTAATTAGGAAAACAGGAGAATCTAGATGGAGATGGTTGAGTACATGAGATAGAGATCACTGTTCTGATCTAACAAATATGTTTCAAGATAGAACGCACCATGTACACCAAACACTACACATCATACACCGTACTCAGAGGGGCATGGGTAAGGATGAGCGAGAGAGGAGGGGGTAAGGGGGGAGGTGGGGGGGGGGGGGGGGGGGTAAGGGGGGGTTACAGATGTGTTAAGAATTAAGGTTATGAAATATGTATGGGTTTTGGCAGAGTGCGTAAAATACATCACTACTCTCTCCGACAGGCGAGAGGCGGTACCATACCTATATCTGTAACATTGAGAGGGGGAAAAGGGTGGTTGCTGCGAGATAATGTGTCAGCTGAATATCAGCTGACAACTGCTATAATGGTGCGTCTATTGATCTTCTGCACAAGGAGATGTTAATGAAGGATAGCATTGAATACACATCTACTCATATTTTGTTAATGAACCGAACACACATGGGGGGAAATTTGATAAATCTGGGGATTT